ATCGGTCATTATGATGATTAGGTGTCGGATTGAGCTGAGATTCAGAGTTAGTACCTCGGCAGCTAGTGTTCAGTTTGAGGTGAGTTTTCCTCACTATATCCGTGGGTCGAAGGCACCAATGCCTACCCATTTTGTTATGTATCCTGATATATAGGGTGTTTGCATGAAGTAGTGATCTGTGGATTTGTTATCTTTTTACCTGTTTCCTGATTATTTATTTATCTGTTATGCACATGTTGACATACTATGATGTATGGTGAGACTGGACTTCTCTGTGCGTCAGTCAACAGACCGGGGGTATTCCAGCCCAATGCTGATTGGGCCAACATGCTTATGATACGAGGGTATTCCATCCCAAGGATGACTGGACCCATCGTGAACATGTCTGGTATTCCAACCCGATGCTGATTGGGCTAGGCATGAGTGTTTGTGAATGTGCTTTGTTTTGTGGTGGTATTTTGGGAAACTCACTAAGCTTTGGCTTACAATTTTAGTTATTTTTTCAGGTACTTCGGATGACCGTGGAAAGGCGAAGGCGTGACCGTGCACATCCTCTTGTTTATCGGTTTTTATGATTTTTGGGATACTCTGATATTATATAAACATTTTGAAACAATGGTTTTGTAAACATTTTTATAATTGTGGGTTGGTTTGAAAAGTTTAAAATTGTTGTGATTTTCGCTAGTGTTACAAGTTGGTATCAAAGCCTTGGTTTGAGTGAATTGGAGGAACACTCGTGTGAATCCAGTCTCAAACTAAGGAAAAAGATTTTTTTAAATAACTTTCAAATTACTTCAAATAATCGAAGAGGATGCGATATGTACGATCAACCGGAGCCAGTAAGTAGACCCCAAATTACCACACTGTTATTTGATCTTGTGATATGTTAGAACAACATGCTAGTGATATGCTAGGGATCTTCAAGAATTGCATGATAGAATTTCCTGATTATATGATGCCTGATAGCCTAGGGTACTTCCTTATATGAAATTAGCATCGTTACTGTAGTTGCTTAGTGTATGCATCATGGTTATACATAACTAAGATTCTATAGCCTAAGAATGTTTGGTTTGACCTTATTTCCTGTTCTTGTTTGATGAAGGGCTTAGGGCACGATCGGATATTCGACTGTCTATAGGGTCCAGTGTTATGTATGATTAGCATACACGAATGTTGCATGGTTGGTGGAAGTTTCATGGATGTGTTGTGTGGGGTCAGTCGACCAGTTTCGTAATGTTTAGCCTTCCACTAGGGAGTGAAGATTGAGTGTATGTGTATGCTAGTGTGTATTGTTAGGGATGTTGTGATGATCCTATGAGACAAATACAGGTAGGTGTGGAAGGTAGTATGGGCCCATACTATTGAAAACACAGGTGTCGTACGCGTAACAAGGAAGTCACAACCCCTAGGGCTTTGTTGGGAGTTGGTTCCCTGGTAAGATAAGTATTTAATATAATGTCTTCCTGGTTTATTTTCAGTATGGTGATGACGAGACGATTTGAGGCGGGATCCGGGTCAGGATCGGGAGCGGGTGGCTAGGATAGGCCAGTAGTGACTGAGGACCGTATCAGGGAGATTGTCCATGAGGAGGTTGTGACCATTGTCAGGGGGCAGATACCGGAGCTGTTTGGGTCTATCAAGACTGCGATGATGGAGTTCTTTGATGACATATACGCTGCTCTTGCTGAGACTGCTGCTGCTGCAGCCGTCGCTGCTGTGGGGGTTGTGCTGGGAGGGCTTTTCAGTACTGGGACTTTGATAATACGAAGCCCCCAAAGTTTGATGGAGTTCAGGATCCGATTATAGCCATGAGGTGGCTATCTAACATTAAGGGGTGCTTTTTCACTTGTTCTTGTCCAGCTAACCAGAAGGTCAAGTACGCTCTGAACCTGCTACGATCCGGAGTGAAGGATTGGTGGAGGCTTGTTACTAGTTCATATTCTACTGAGTAGAGGGCTGTTGTGACTTGGGAGCAGTTCTCTGAGATGTTCCATTCCAGATATGTTCCGCTGGTGGAGTGGGAGAGGTTGGCCCAAGAGTACTTGGATTTGAGGCAGTGGACGGAGTCGGTGACGAAGATCACCAAGATGTTTACGGAGAGAGCCATGTTTTGCCCTGTGTTTGCTGCTTCTGAGCAAGCTCAGATGACCCGGTACTTGAGCATGCTGAAGACGGATATATGGCAGTTTGTGTCCACTCAACGCTATTGTTCATTATTGGAGTTGCAGGAGGCCGCCAGGCGGCATGAGATTGAGATAAAGCTCCAGACGAGGGAGTAGAGGCAGGCACCATTGCAGTCACAATTTGCAGTGAAGCGATTTAAGGCTGCTGATTCGAGGAAGGGGAGTCAGAGGGGCCACACTTGTGGGAAGTGCAGAAAGGTTCATGATGATGCGTGTTGATCTGGGTGCCACAAATGTGGCAAGGAGGGTCACATTTCTAGGGATTGTCGTTAGCAGATTCCGCCACCGAGTGTCAGGATTTGTTACCACTGTGATCAGGTTGGTCATACATGCCCCTGATAGGTACGTTCCTAGTGAACTCTTTACCAGCTCTTGTGTTGTTTGACTCGGGTGCGAGTCGGTATTTTGTATCTCGATCATTCAGTAGGGAGTTTCATATGCCTATTGGGGAGTTAGACTGTCCATTACGGGTTTCTATCGCCAATGAGCACATGGTTTTTGCATCTGCAGTATTTCAGGGATGTGTGCTAGAGATCTTCAAGTGTCTTATCTGATTGATCTTATCCCTATTCCCATGGGGGATGTGTGCGTGATAGTGGGTATGGACTGGCTAAGCAGGTTTAGTGCCATGATTGATTGTGAGGGCCAACGAGTGGTAGTTCGAACCCCAAGTGGGGGAAAATAGGTTATTTATGGAGAGGGCACCAGGGTCGGTTCAGGGTTTTGTTCGGCAGCCAGGGCTCGTCAGTATATTCTGCATGGGTGTGCAGGTTAGTTAGCTTTTGTGGTTGACATTCGATTTGGGGATCAAATTTCAATCTCAGAGGTTCCAGTGGTCAGGGAGTTTGCTGATGTATTCCCGGAGAAGTCACCCGGTGTGCCTCCCGAGAGGTAGGTCGACTTCAGGATTGACCTTGTGCCAGATGCGGCCCCGATTTGCAAGGCGTCGTACCGCTTGGCACCGCCTGAGATGCAAGAGTTGTCATCTCAGCTGCAGGAGCTACTAGGCAAACAGTTCATCAGACCGAGAAGTTCTCCATGGGGAGCGCTGGTATTGTTCGTCAAGAATAAGGATGGTTCACACCGGATGTGCATTGATTACCGGGAGTTGAAAATTTAACGGTGAAGAACCGTTATCCTCTTCCGTGGATTGATGACCTTTTTGATCAATTGCAGGGTGCATCTTGGTTCTCCAAGATAGATCTGAGGTTTGGGTATCATCAGGTGAGAGTGAGAGATGATGACGTGGAGAAGACCGCGTTCCAAACTCGTTATGGGCATTACGAGTTCGTGGTGATGCCATTTGGGCCCACCAATGCACCTGCTGTGTTTATGGATTTGATGAATCGGGTATGCAGGTCGATGTTTGATCCACCCCTCATTGTGTTTATTGATGATATCTTGGTATATTCCAACACCAGAGAGCAGCATGAGGAGCACCTTCGAGAGCTTTTGGGGGTACTGAGGCAAGAACGACTTTATGCCAAGTTCTCGAAGTGCGAGTTTTGGTTATGAGAGGTCCAGTTCTTAGGGCACCTCGTTAACCAGGATGAGATTTTGGTCGATCCGGCCAAGATCGAGGTTGTGATGCAGTGGGAGGTTCTGAAATCTCCCTCAGAGATCGGAGATTCATTCAGGATTTCTCCAAGATTGCGGTACCCCTCACTCGTCTGACGAGGAAGGGGGTGGATTTCCGAAGGGGCCCTGAGCAGCAGTCTACGTTTGAGACTCTTCGGCAGAAGTTATGTGAGGCCCCGGTATTGACCCTCCCGGAGGGAGTTGAGGATATGGTATTCTGTGATGCATCCATCACTGGCTTAGGGGCAGTCCTCATACAGAGAGGACGAGATTTTGATTATGCTTCGCGCCAGCTGAATCCGCATGAGACGCGATATCTCACTCATGACCTAGAGTTAGGGCAGTGGTCTTTGCCCTCAAGATTTGGAGACATTGTCTTTATGGGGTCCGTTGTACAGTTTATACGGATCACAAGAGTTTGAGACATCTTATGGATCAGCCGAACCTGAACATGAGGCATCGCAGGTGGCTGGACGTTTTTTTAAATATAACCAAAATAAAAGCATATATTTTGGTTAGATATTGAATCAGATACATGCCCCAAAAGAAAGAATATCAATGCTGCTTTTTTCTATTTCAACACTTTTTTTGTTGTTTTTTTGAATATGTCCCATTTTTTTAAATGTACATAACTCATTCATATGACGTCGGAATTACTTAATTTTTTTTCTAACATGTAATTTGGTGTTTGTACTTCATTTTAGACTATACAAACACATATTTTGGTTAGATATTCAATTAGCTATAGACCCCGGAAGACAACATATCAATGTTGCGTATTTTTTGTTTCAGCATTTTGTTTTTATTTTGGAATCTGTTATGCTTTTAAAATGCGCATAACTCACTCATATGAAATCGGAATTACTTAATTCTTTTTTCATCATATAATTTAGTGTTTGTACTACAACATTTTAACCGGTTCTAGTTTGAAAAATAACCAAAACCGGAAGTGGCGCTAGAACCGGCGGTCCGGTCCCCGGTTCTTATAATATTGGAAAACCGGTCCGGTTCTAAAGCCCATCCATACTTTGACCTATATAAAGATATTTTAGCGATTGTCTTGGTCACTTACATTTACCATTTTGTTTTATTCTCTGTGCTCTCTCCTCTTCAGTTACATATACCATACCAAGAAGCAAAAACATTGATATCAATAATTGGCATTCTTGATTCAATCCTTCCAAATAAAGTCAAAACATATGTTTCTACATTAACACATTAACACTGGTATGTCTAATTTTAGATAAATTGATGAAATGTTGCTATTAGTACTTGAATAATAACGACCATTCGTCCAACATCTAAAACGGGAAGGACGGAGTTTGGAAGAGACGGGTAAGAGATAGGCAGGGGCATTATGCATTCGTCACCATTGAAGTAGACTTTATGAGGGAATGCCCACCCACGATTCAATGAGAATGTTGTCCTATTTTTTTGAAGAATCATCTCTGAATGCACACTTGCAGCCTCCAGAAGGCGGTCGTTATCCAGCTTCTCTACTCCATAAAACATACCTGTATCATCTGCATTTAAAAACCAGGATGACGTTGACAAATGAGTTTGTTTCTTGCTTAGATTATAAATAGTAGATCACATATCATCAGGTAGATTTCCTGGGCTGCTCATATTTGTTCTCATCAACTTACTTATGGGTTCAAAGAGGAGAAGAGGCTTATAGTTAAAAGCATCAACTTTGGCAATGTTGTTGAGATTCGGATGTTGAGCAACAAGTGTCCACTTAGTGTAGTTGAAATTGAAGTTGAAGTTGGTGATGGTGATCCTCACATGCCAATACATCTTGTAGTTTCTTTTCACATGCCAATGAACCCGAACAGGGCACATGTGGTGAGTTCATTGCTTCACGGGAGCATTACCTTCTGTATGTGGGCTTGTTGATCCAACCACATGTGATATAGGCGAATTATTACTGATGTGTTACAAGAATTCTCTTACGATTTTAGTCAGATTGCCAAGTATCTTATATGCATAATCTCGAAATATGATTATAGAAAGCTTACGTAACACAGTTTTCATTGATCCTGCAGCCACAAGCACATGAAAGACATGGAGTGATCTCACTGTTGTAAAAAGATGACATCGAGACACAACAGGTTGGGATCTCAGAGGCCAGAAACTGGGAGTAACGACACACCAGTTGCCATGACACTACAAATAAATACACGATTAATCAGAAGAGAGGTTAATTGTAAAAGAATATAAAACCTGGCCTTCATGGAACAGTGAAACATACTTAAAGCTCGGTTCTTTCTACGACCACCAGATGATAAAGAAACCGAAGATGGCACAATGGATATAGGGCTGCAGGTGTATCCTTGATTGGGACCCAGCAGGGAGAAATTCTTGGGCAGACCGACTGTTTTATAAGTATTGCCCGAATTCCCAACACTCAACTGAAACGCCGAGAGTGAATTAGCAGGATCTTGACCCATTGAACTTACAAAACCACCCTTGCAGCAGTTTAGGAACTGCTGGTTGTAAGGTACTCCTGGCTGCATGTCAATGATTCTGGGACTCTTCTCACAGGAATGAGGAATATTACTCGGTAAGTCCTTGCAATCTCCTTGATCAATCGCCTGAGCTCCTAGAATCGACCAAATTATTTCCTTTTTAGCCCATGTCCATCCCAATGTCCATCCTGGAGTCATGATTGGACGATACATTTGATAGTTGTTCATCTTCACCACAGCCTGCAAATCGCTCATCTCAGGTAACAATCACAATTTACTTAATTAGGAATCTCAGAATATTACTTACCACGTAGCCATCTGGAGTCCATGAAACAACATCCCATGTAATGGTTATGTTTGCGGTTGGATCAAAGATATCATATGCCATTACAACTGTAACAAACATACGAAGTTAATTTCTCTATGACAAACTAACAGTTAAATGGAACATTTAACATGAAAATTAGAATCATGTTCTCAGTACTAACCTGCAGAAAAGCATAACAAATAAGTCACAACAGAAGATCTTAATGTAGATCTAAACCTTCTCAAAGCCATGATTAATTTTCCTAGAAATTATGATAACTAGAATTCAGATATAATAGACCATCTTCATGTCACCAACATTTTTCACAACTTCCCTATTTTATGCTCATGGCATCCTGGTTGAACTTGCAGTTGCAGATGCATTCGCTATGAACACAAATGTTTTATAACTCGATAACAAGACAAATCCAAGAATAATTCCAAAAGAATGTTAAGATACCAGATCCCATGAATATAATATGGAAGTTGAAGCAGAAGGTCCAAAGTGCATGACAAAGATTGGTCTTATATATTAAAATGGGTTGACCTCGATGAAAAACATAATAAAAGTATGGTGTTGACTAACTAGTTTACAGATTTGTCAAGATCATCGCAGGAATGTGGATCGAGAAGTTCAGATCCGACAAGCTAGCCAGTCATGAGGTAATCCTTTGGTTTTTTGCCAATCGGAGAACTTTCTTCCTAACCCTGCTTTTATCAAGCATCTTTTAATGGTATGGGCAAGCATCTTTTATAATGTACTACAAACAGAAAAACTATGTAAGGTATTTTGCAGGCCAAACAATCAAATCGATGTATTTTAACATAAAATCATTGGCATTCAGCATCCATTAATGGATGAATAGTTAGTCACTTTCGGACAATATAACGTGGAGACTTCGTGATTTATTAAAATAAATTTCAACTTTTTAAATTCACACATTTACACATCATCCATAATCAACCAATTATTCTATATTTTCACAATTTCATTTGTTTTCCCTTGAATTCTCTACGTCCGTTCACAATTAGAATAGTTTCAACATAGGTTTTTGTTATTTTGAATGAGTAATGTCGGCGAGGATGGGCTGGTGGGATAAACTGGAAATAGAGTGTTGGGGGGGGGGGGGGGGGGGGGGTATGTTGTTGGTTTTGATATGGAAAAAAAAAATTGATGTCAGTTATTTTTGCTTAAATAATTAACCGTTGACTAATTGATCTATTTCTCATGTTTTACCTTAGACAAGAGACAATTCCACTCATCTTAACCTAAAAACGAAAAAGAGAAATATCATGTTACAAAAATAACTAATAATTTCTTTAAAAAACCGGATATTTGTGTTACCATAAAAGGTAGCTGAAAATATAAAAGCTTTTCTATATATATAAACAAAATATAAGAGTTTTCTGAATGCTACTAGATAAATGATTGTGTTTTTCTGTATTTTGTCCAAAAAATAATGTTGAATGAAAGTAATAAAGGTATATATATTAGTCTTTTTAATTCAATCAAGGATCAAAATCAAAACAAATCCAATCCATCGAGACTATCCAAGTTTTAAAAAAAATTAGGAACTAAACATGCAAATCATCCCAAACCACAAAATTGATTCATGTAATTTACTCTAGTTAATATAAAATAAAAATGAAAAAAATATAAAGTTAACAAATGTCTCCGAGTGAAATTTTAATAGTATATATTCACCGACACCAAATTTAGCGTAACATTTGGTGTTGGGCCTTAAAACTTTACACTATATTTGATATAAAAAGAATAAGAGTTGATTGATACATAACAACTTTTTTCCATATATAATAATTTGTTCTTTAAATTTGTATTATATAATTTTATAAAACATAAATTATTATTTATGAAGAAACAATATTATATACCAATCACTTCATAGGCTTTAGTTTTAGGTTGGAAATACTGTTAAATTTTATTATTCATCCCATTAGCCTTGTGTCCCGTATGTCTATTGAATGCACGTTTGGTGAATAAGTTGGTGAAATGATTTGTACCAACCAAAGAGTTTCTAGCCCAGCGGTATCCAGTATTGCTCTCACTCCTTGAGATCGAAGGTTCAAGTCATGTAAGAAACATAAGTGGATTTAGAAATAGTTAGGAGTAAAATAGATTTGATATTAAAAAATGACTTGTACCTAAAAAAAAAACTATCTAGCCACCCATAGTATGTCTTTGAAGTGGCATTTTTACCCATTTCTATTCAAGAACCCCCCCCCCCCCCCCCCTGGAATGACGTAAGCAATGACATAAAAAGCCATTATTATTAAAGACACATTATTGAAGACATGTGGCCTTTCAATATGGAAAAGATTTGTTATTGTTTATATAATAAAAGTGTCGGTAAGAAGTTTAGATAGAATAATTATTGAGTGTGTATTATATTATTTGATGTAACATAAGGTGTGTAAGTCCCTCAATAGTCTAGGGGGCTATAATGTAAATAGGTTTGTCATATTGCAATCAAACGATT